GTTTATTTATGTCTGTATAGGCCGTTGTTGTGAGTGTGGACGGTCGGAGCATATATAACGTTAGTTTAGCCAAGCTCCATTTAGAAAACACGCATTTTAAAAAGGTGTTTCTCTGCCGTCTGTCTGCAGACTCAAAGCATTAATTCATGGTTTTTACTAACCGGTATCAGTATGTTGTTACTTCGGCATCATTTAGAAACGTGTATTACAATTTAAATTACGGTCAAATATGTTCATCTTGTTGTAGTTGTAGCCCCTTGCCAGCGATTCTCTCTCTAGTTTAGCATACTCAGCCTGGTTGTTCCTGGCCCTAGAACCACGATTTTATGGGGCCAGAAAAACTGTGAATTAGGACCCGCTAGCCGGTACTAGGCCAAGTGGAAACGCAACCAAAAACGGGCCCCGCACGGCTCGGCACGCTTAAAGCGAGCTCCGCGCTGCAGTGGAAACGAGCCATTACATCACCAGAAGTCCTAATTTAAGGGGTAATTTCTCCCCAAAAAAATGTTTTTACTCACTATATCAACAGCCCAACCAAAAATATTTTCCACCAGCCGCCACTGCTGCTGTTACGGTTCTTCTACAAAACGTTCACATATAAGAGGTTTATCTCTCATTCAGAACAATGGAAACCTGTGATCTCTACAGAGCTCGTTAGCTCAAATATAAACACCTGTGTCATGGAACACGATGCTGACGTGCTCAGAGCAGCAGCCTCCAGGTAGCAGTGTGCTAACAGTCCAGCTGTGAAGACATCTACGGGACAGTTTGGAGAGTTCTTCAAATGCCGTTGCCATGGCAACACAATGCTCGCCTTGAAACACGGCTTTCTCATAACTTCAGTGAAAATACTCCAAACAGCCCAGAACTTCACAGGTCTGGTAACGATGCAGCCATCAACGCATCTAAGCGTATTATGGTGTTTCATCAAATGCCGTTGCATTTGACAGATCATTCGCCATCAACTTAGTTCAGAAGTTTGCCGTTCAAATATTCTGCTGCTTTTCCAAGCCTTTTCACTTTCTTCTCTCATCACACATTCAAGCCCCCAGTGTTCATGTATCATTTCAATCTCAATTCTTCACTTTCTTCTTACACATTACATTTCAGCAGTTTAGCTTCAGCTTTTCAGCATAAAGCATTCCCACTAGCAATTTCTTCAGGAATTGCATTCTCTAGTTAACACTGTTCTTCCACCAGAAGCGCCATCAATGCCTCACTAACACCCCTTCATCCTATTTGATGTCTACTACAGAGAGACACAATGGCAATGGATACAAAAAAACGACTACAAGACCACACTTAATGTTTGTTAGATTTATAACACACTTTTGGCTAGGTGAAACACAGTCTTACACTTCAGGATGTTTCCTCTCCCTCCTAATCTCTCTGTCTGTGTGTGTTCCTGCAGGACGAAACACACACACACACACACACACACACACACACACACACACCCGTTTGTTATGGTTTCCTCACTATGTGTGTGTGTATGTAGTTTAATAAGGGTGTGTACGCAGAGGTGTGTAACATCATCAAAGATGAAGCTGAACATGCAGAAACTTGTCATTCTTAAGGTTTGTGAACTTTAAAGCCTTTATTTTACAATATGTCTCAACAACAACATGGCTACGTTTAAAAATTAAGATGATGATGACCTAAGACCAAGATGACATCGGTCATTAACCAAGATGGCTATGTTTTCAAAAAGATCAAGAGGGTGACGAGCAAAAAACAAGACGTCCAATACCAAAAACCAAGATTGCTACAACACATTCTCACTCCCAGCTCGGCCTATGTTGACGTTATGTCAGGGTCCCTGTCGTCACTTTCCAACGCAAGGGGGGCCCTTTAGCGTCGAGTTTCAACTATCAGGGAGTCCCATTGACTTGCATACAGCTCCCTGAACGCTGGTAATAGAGGAGTTGGGATCGCGGCGAAATGCTCTCCGCAGATCCATTCTCACAGCGTTATAAACCTTTTTCTAACTCAATATCAAGCCACACTTATTGTGTTTACTTCTTTATTTTAATTGAATAATGTAGGACTTTTGTTGCCGTCAGTTAGGGGGAGAGTAGGGGCTCAGAAAACTGAAATCTGTATTGTTTCATCGTTTTTTCCTTCTAATTTCGTATTCTTTTCTAAACCACACAGTTATTTACTCAACAATAACACATATTTATCCTTGTGTTTATTTATTTGTTTGATTAATAAACACAAGTTGGAATCCGTCAGGACCGAGGGTCGGAGCAGCTCTTTTGCTTTAGAGAATATTACACCCGGAAGTAAGTATTCTCTCTGCTTCGCTTGACAAACCCCGTGAGAGTCCTCAAGCTCTGTGATTGGAGAGTGTGCTCAGAGGGTTACGCCGAGCGTCGAACAGCACTTGAAATGGGATGGAACCACGGCAGACTGTCCAAAACTGGATTTGAACCGCGTCCCCCCTCCACCCGGTCCCCAGAACTACACATGCTGGCTATTGTGTTTCGCAACATGTTCTCTATCTATGGCACGTAAAAGCTCTGTAAAGGTACGTGTTGTGATATCTGTGTTTGCTTCCCCTGTCGCGAGTTCGGATCACTCAGTGATGATACTATATACCTAAATAATCTGTGGAACCTCAGCTTTAATCGGATATCTTGTATGTGCAGCTACGATAAGTAATAAGGGTTTCTTTTATCTTGAGTTCTGTGCCAAAGTGCGTTAGCATTTTTCGCTCATCGGTCATTTAGATGCTTCTTATGAGACTTGTGTTTTGTTTTGGTAAACATGGTTTGTATCGTCAGTTAGCTGAGATTATTCCCGTTAATCTGGTATAACACATTAATAGGTTCTTAAATATTAAGATCCCCTGAGACAGTGCCGCAGAGGGGGACCTTGGGGCTAAGACGTTTTCGCTTATTTCCCATAATAAGAAGTTGCCAGTATTAAACTGTGTACATCCCTGGAGGTTTAGGGGATAGGAAACACTCAAATTTAAAACATATAATTAGTAAATGGGTGAAAATTGCTTGTGTCCATAATGGGCAGCATTAATATATACCCACATGCCAGCTAAGGTCAGAAGAGCTTTATTTAACAGCTGGTCTTATGTCTGTGACCCCTGTTGTTAATTGATAACATTACATTACATTACATTAATTGATAAGCCTGAAACATGCACTTGTCAAGGTTCAGAGGCACATTTTGCAAATATGGCAGTAGCCATCGATCATCTTAAGATAAGATATACTTTATTGATCCCAAGTTGGAAACATTTGCGTTACATCAGCATGTGTAACAGTTGTAAATATGCAGTGGTGTTTATTTATAAATCATTTAGTATAATCACACAAATTCTGTGTTTTATATTTAATAATTCTGTGTTCTTTATTTATTGAATGTTCAATACCTGACAAGGCCGGAGATGAAAAACTTGGGTCGCAGGTTCCTCAACAGTGCATTACAAGACATCTGATCAATATGTGTGTACCTCCACCATTAAACTGTCGTATTCTGCACATTTCTTATACTATCTACATACATCTTATAAGAGTATAATGCATATGTATAATATCAGTTAAAATAAGTGCTTCAACATACAGTATTTAGCATTACAGGAAAGTTGATTGTCAAGTCCCAAAACAAATTCTGCAATATATTAAACGTTAAGTACTTTGTCAGGCTAAATATTTATCTGTAGATAGATACCCCCAAAGCTTTTTTCTTATTTAAAAGAAAACCTTAAAAGTATTCTTTAATGTTTAAATAAAGCCTTATTAGTTGGTCTGTTTTGCACCTCCTCCTGTTAATATCTTTGTACATCCGGCACTAAACTGTTTTATTGTAGAGATCACTACAGTATCTTATTGATATTTTCTATTCTATATTTCTATCATTGACCTTCTACTTTCCCCCTATGAAAGTATGTACTCTTAATGTTTTCATGAAATATAACATATCAACAAAAAAATTCAATAACGTGCTTTAACCACTAGGCCAGGGGTGCCCAATACGTCGATCGTGATGTTTTTATCATCCATCCTTACTATGGCATTTGCCACTTGATTGACATGCAGGTAAGCCAGTCTGAGTTGTATTGTGCCATATGGGTTCATGCAGTTATGAGGGCCCCCCCCGCCGCTCGCGACAGAGATGGTGCAGGGGCCTGTAGGTAGATCATTTCGGCTTGGTCATTTTAAAAGTAGCTCGATGAAACAATACAGATTTCAGTTTTCTGAGCCCCTACTCTCCCCATAACTGACGGCAACAAAAGTCCTACATTATTCAATTAAAATAAAGAGGTAAAAACAATAAGTGTGGCTTGATATTGAGTCAGAAAAAGGTTGATAAACGCTGTGAGAATGGATCTGCGGAGAGCATTTCGCCGCGATCCCAACTCGTCTATTACCAACGTTCAGGGAGCTCTATGCAAGTCAATGGGACGCCCTGTTAGTTGAAACTCGACGCTAAAGGGCCCCCCTTGCGTTGGAAAGTGACGACAGGGACCCTGACATAACGTCAACATAGGCCGAGCTGGGAGTGAGAATGTGTTGTACAAAAACAAGCTTGCTAAGGTCAAAAACCCACAACGGCCAAGACCAAAACCAAGATGGCCGACACCAAAAACCAAGATTGCTACGGTCAAAACGAAGATGGCGAAGACTTGCTTTTCCATTATTAGGCCATGATCTGTATGAATGCTGCATAATATCACCAGTAATCATGAAAGAATATCATATTGTGTTGTGTTCATTCAGTCTGATTGCTCACTCAGTTTACTCACCTGCAGGGAAAGAGAGTGCTCTTCATGACCCAAACATCATAATCACTCATAATTGTAAAGTATTTTATTACTTAAAATGAAATTGAACAATTATCTTTGAAACTCAACAATGGTTTTGACTCTTGATAAATGAGATGTTTTGTGATTATGTTTAAGTTCTTTTAGATCAGTGTTTAAAAGCTGCAGCCACACAGGACAATAGAGGAAGCACGGAAAGAAGAAGGACACACAGACGTTAATAATTTAATATTTATTGTCAAAATTAACTATCTGAATTTACAGAGGCACGTTCTGAAGATAAAGTGAATCAGCTGCTTTTCGTTTGAGGACGGAAGAAAATACCCCTCCTTGAAAAAATAATGACGGGTCAACATGAGACACATTTTATTTCTGTTGAAGTGAAACTGGTGACACAGTTCACTGCGACACAAATCAGGGGACATATTTCACTGCGACACAAACTCAAACAAGAGGAAACTCTTCCTCACAGATCTATAAAAGTGATTGAATTATTAGAATATCTGAAAACCTAACGCGCATTGACGACAGTGTCTTTGCGTTTAGAGACGTAACATACAGGAACTCGTTCCAGTGTTAATGATGACTTTCATTGTAGATTAATCACATCCAGACACAACAATATCCAGTTTATCATCAGGAGGAAACATCCAGGAGCTGGAATCAGTGCATTTTGAATTTAAAAACACTCAAATGTTATTTTATTGCTGTTATTCGTCATAATTGAGCTCTAATTATATTTTAAACATAAGTTGGGAATCAGACTGCAGAAGAAGAGATACAGGGAGCGCTCCATTTTCCTGGGTCTGATGCTAGGTTATGATAGGTCAGCTGATCTGATGCAGGGCTGTGATTAGTCGACTGGGAAGGCTGTGGCTCAGTGGGATAGGGCGCTGAACTTAGTGCGCTGCACTTTGAATCAGGGGAGCACAGGTTCAAACCCCACTGCAGTCAGCATGTCGTTGTGTCCCTGAGACTCTTCACCCCAAAGTGCTCCTGTGGGGATTGTCCACAGTATTCAGTATGTAAGTCGCTTTGGATAAAAGCGTCTAACAAGTGACATGTAATGTAATGTCTAATCCAGGGTTGTGATTGGTCAGATGCTGGGCTGTGATTGGTCAGCTGGTCAGATGCTGGGCTGTGATTGGTCAGTTCATGTAGGGGTACTTCCACTCTGTGAGGGGGACGTGAGTCTGCTTCACCACCTGAGGAGACGTCCAGCGCAGGACGTAGTGCGGCCCCCCCGGCTTATCATTCGTACCTGAGAGGGATCATTAGGGTTATATATCTATATATATACACACACACATCTATATATTTATACATCTATATCTTAAAATCAAACTGTCCATTTTACATTGATATTGTTTAGCGCCTTTGAGCACTAGGAAAAGCGCCATAAAAATTCAATGTGTAATTATTGTTATTATATTCAATGGAATATTAAATACACTGTACATTTGTATTTCAACATGTATATTTTCAACTTTTTTTGATGCTCTTCTATTTCTATTTGAGATTTCTTGTCTTTTAATTTCTCTATTGTCCAATGCCATGTCTTTTTATGCTGCTGCAATGCAAACATTTCCCAAATTCGGGTCAATAAAGTCATTCTTATATTATATATATATATATATTTATATAATATATATATATATATATATATATATATATAATATAATATAATATAATATAATATATATATATATATATTATATATATATATATATATAATATAAACTACAACGTTTAATTGTAGTTCATTATATATATATATATATATATATATATATATATATATAATGAACTACAATTAAACGTTATTACCTGAGGCCCGGGCTCCTCCGAACGGTTGCTGAGCGACAACAGATCCGGTCGACTTATCGTTCACGTAGTAGTTTCCTGCAGCGTTCCTCAACACTGCAGAGGCCTCCTCGATCACCTGCCTGGACACACACATTTATGATTATGCTGATGTCTAAATATGATTTTCAGTCTTGTCGTTTTTACGATCGAGTTTAGATTAAACCACGGCCACTTCCGTATCAACTGCAGTCTAACAGGCCATATTGTTTTTCCCAAGCTAGAGTAGAAGTTACCTCAGCGTTGTTAACATTGTTCTCTTTATTTATACATCATGATGCAGAGCTACGATAATGTGGAAGAGGGCGTGGTTACATCTAAACTGGTTTGGAAAACTACGGACCATGGATGTGTAATAAGATCTGGATACAGCGTTGGAGGCGGGGCTTGTTCTTTCCTATGAGAGCTGCTCATTGGCTCATGAGGATGAAAATGGCTTGAGATTTTCGAGAGCAAAACGTCACAGATTACCCATCATGCCTTGCTGTCAGAGCAGAAGTACCCGTATAGAGTGGCGAAGTCACGCCCATCTACTTCCGGTCCATGGGATCTTATTTCGGAAAAATTATGTATTTAAGTCAATGGAGAGAGAACTTATCTTTCGATCCAGTTTGAATTGTGCCATGAGTTACACACATGATGTTTGTCAATCTTAACAAATAATTTCCATGTAAAAAAAGTCACAGTTTGTCTTAAAACTGTTGAAATATAAGACTATGAAAAATACGCAACTAGAAAGACTACAAATCCCAGAGTCGCGTAAGTGATGTCACAATTGTTTTCCTCCACTAAGAGATAGCTAAGATCAGCGCCATATAGATAGAATCTATCTATATGGCGCTGGCTAAGATAACTTTAACAAGATGCCTGTGTGCTTAGTACCAGGCTGTTATCATACCAGCAATGGGTCTTGCTCGTTCTTTCGCTTCCCGTCTGATGAAAGGACCAGGAGTGGCTGGATCAAGTTAGCTACCTAGCTAGCAGCTAGCACGTTAGTTAGCATTACAGCCTTGTCATTTTTATTAGCTTTAACATGAAGTAACATCAAGTAACCCAACATGTTAAACAGTAAGAGTAGTAGTGTTGCACGGTGTACCGATACTTGAAAGGTACCGCGATACCCTGCCGTTAAAAACGTTACGATTCCTCCGTTTCATTAGTATCGATACTTTAAGAATGACGGGGAAAAGTACTCCGGTGAGGAAGCGCCGTGTTAATAAGAGCCGTGTGTGTTCAGCGCTCTGCTTCCACTCCCTGCTCTGCAGCCGTGCCTTCAGTCCCTCCCCTCTCAAGCACGCTCTAAGTCCCTCCCCTCTCAAGCACGCTCTAAGTCCCTCCCCTCTCAAGCACGCTCTAAGTCCTTCCCCTCTCAAGCACGCTCTAAGTCCCTCCCCTCTCAAGCACGCACTAAGGTCCTCCCCTCTCAAGCACGCTCTAAGTCCTTCCCCTCTCAAGCACGCTCTAAGGTCCTCCCCTCTCAAGCACGCTCTAAGTCCCTCCACTCTCAAGCACGCTCTAAGTCCCTCCCCTCTCAAGCACGCTCTAAGTCCCTCCCCTCTTAAGCACGCTCTAACTGCCTCCCCTCTCAAGCACGCTCTAAGGGCCTCCCCTCTCAAGCACGCTCTAAGTCCCTCCCCTCTCAAGCACGCTCTAAGTCCTTCCCCTCTCAAGCACGCTCTAAGTCCCTCCCCTCTCAAGCACGCTCTAAGTCCCTCCCCTCTCAAGCACGCACTAAGGTCCTCCCCTCTCAAGCACGCTCTAAGTCCTTCCCCTCTCAAGCACGCTCTAAGTCCCTCCCCTCTCAAGCACGCTCTAAGTCCCTCCCCTCTCAAGCACGCACTAAGGGCCTCCCCTCTCAAGCACGCTCTAAGTCCCTCCCCTCTCAAGCACGCTCTAAGTCCTTCCCCTCTCAAGCACGCTCTAAGTCCCTCCCCTCTCAAGCACGCTCTAAGTCCCTCCCCTCTCAAGCACGCACTAAGGTCCTCCCCTCTCAAGCACGCTCTAAGTCCTTCCCCTCTCAAGCACGCTCTAAGGTCCTCCCCTCTCAAGCACGCTCTAAGTCCCTCCACTCTCAAGCACGCTCTAAGTCCCTCCCCTCTTAAGCACGCTCTAAGTGCCTCCCCTCTCAAGCACGCTCTAAGGGCCTCCCCTCTCAAGCACGCTCTAAGTCCCTCCCCTCTCAAGCACGCACTAAGTCCCTCCCCTCTCAAGCACGCTCTAAGTCCCTCCACTCTCGTCTCTCAAGCATGCTCCAAGTCCCTCCCCTCTCTCGTGCACGCTCCAAGTCCCTCCCCTCTCAAGCTCGCTCTAAGTCCCTCCCCTCTCAAGCACGCTCTAAGTCCCTCCACTCTCAAGTACGCTCTTAGTCCCTCCCCTCTCAAGCACGCTCTAAGTCCCTCCCCTCTCAAGCACGCTCTAAGTGCCTCCCCTCTCGTGCACGCTCTAAGTGCCTCCCCTCTCTCGTGCACGCGGCCACGCGCTAGCTGCCAGAGCATGTGAGAAAACGAGAAGCATGGCTGCAAGTGGGAGTGCAACACACTAAAGAGTAGTAGTCATATTTCGTGAACCCTTTGAAGAGTACTGTCACACCGGTGTGATCATTCTATAATACACCATTTAAGCCCGGGGGAGAAATGCTAACGCTACATTAGCATCTGCGATCTTTTCTACTTCACGCTATCTGCACAAATGGTTGACATTCAACATTAAAAAGACCAGGCAGTTCAGAGAGAATCAAAGGAAGGCAGCTTTGCATGACGTTCTTCTGGACGTGTTTCCTTGTGGTGATAGTGAGGGTAGGCAATCCTTTTGTTGACAAGACAGTAGTGACGGCCATCTTGGTGACGTGTGTTGTTGTGCGAGACCGGAGATGTAGTTCATTCAGCGTTTCACACAAACAAATGTGTTACTTCACAGTTTTTTTTTTTTACTTGCAAAATTATCTTTTAAATTGTCATTACATTACATTACATTACATTTAGCTGACGCTTTTGTCCAAAGCGACTTACAATAAGTACATTCGACCAGGAAGACACAACCTTGAAGAAAACAGAATCATATAAGTATATCAGGTTTCATAGAGCCAAACATTTCAAGTGCTACTCAACTAGCTTTAGGTAATCCAGTCCTTTATTGGTATAAAAGTGCTTCGTTAATCGTTCTAACGCTCGAAGTGGAGTCGAAAGAGATGAGTTTTCAGTTTGCGCCGGAAGATGTGCAAGCTATCTGCCGTCCTGATGTCAATGGGGAGCTCATTCCACCATCTTGGAGCCAGGATAGCAAACCCACGTGTTTTCGCCGATGGGAACTTGGGTCCCCCTCGCAGCGAGGGCGCAACGAGTCGTTTGGCTGATGCAGAGCGTAGTGCACGCGCTGGGGTGTACGGTTTAACCATGTCCTGGATGTAGGAAGGGCCAGATCCATTCGCAGCACGGTAAGCAAGTACCAGTGTCTTGAAGTGGATTCTAGCAGTTACCGGAAGCCAGGGAAGGGAGCGGAGGAGCGGAGTGGTGTGGGAGAATTTAGGAAGGTTGAAAACCAGACGAGCCGCTGCATTCTGGATGAGCTGCAGAGGTCGGATGGCACATGCAGGTAGACCAGCCAGGAGGGAGTTGCAGTAGTCTAGGCGTGAGATGACGAGAGCCTGGACCAGAACCTGAGTGGCTTTCTGTGTCAGCTGGGGACGTATCTTCCTGATGTTGTAAAGCGTGTATCTGCAGCAGCGGGTTGTAGCAGGGATGTTTGCAGTGAAGGACAGGTTGTTATCTAGGGTCACACCCAGATTCCTTGCAGTCTGAGTCGGGGATATGTCAAATATCATATGTGTAATTCGGGACACAATTCAAACGGGATCAAAAGATAATCTTTCTCTCTCCATTGACTTCAATACATGGAGCTCCACTGGAAGGGGAGGGACTTCACCACTCTATACCCGTGTAGCTCAGAGCACAGTTGAGTTTCCCCTTAAGCCCCGCCTCCTGTCATTAAGCCTCGCCTCCTGCCATTAAGCCCCACCCCCTGATCTCCCGCTCTCAGCTCAGTAGAAGGAATGGAGAGAGAAAATAAATCTAGATTCGGCTTTTAGTGCATTTTACAAGTTTAAGGACTTAATGATTATAATAAGGGCTATAAAATAGTTCATACTGGGTAGTTTATTTAGTTTTAAAAAATCCTCCACTGATTTACAGACGTCTCTTTCAACAGGTTAGTCAATGGGAAAAAGTATTTCTGGGCCGGGTGACGTCACGGACTGATACGGAAGTTGCAGTTTGGCCACTAGGAATATTTTCCTCAGAGTCCGGAGAACTTCCTGGGGGCTTGGAGAGAACACATGATGATAAGCACAGTAAAACCCCCTCAGGTCACTACTGGTACTGCATCCAGTCACAGAACATCGGATTAAAACCACCAGACCAGTGTTATCCCACAGGCCATAAGACTGTTAAACACCTGAGCTCTGTTAAGTGCCTCCATAAACATTCATCTGTTTTTAACCGCAATAAACCGTATTTAATTTGTATACAGAAGTTGTAGTAAAAACTTGGAGTTTCAGGCTCTGCACTTTCCCTCCTCACCTCATACCTGAAAGACCGTACCTACAGGGTGACTTGGAGAGGGTCTGAGTCCGACCCTTGTCAATTAACTGCAGGGGTCCCTCAGGGCTCTGTTCTTGGTCCCCTCCTCTTCTCCCTGTACACAAACTCGCTCGGATCAGTCATTAGCCTGCATGGTTTTTCTTACCACTGCTACGCTGACGACACCCAATTAATTCTGTCCTTTCCCCGCTCAGAGACCCAGGTCGTTGCACGCATCTCTGCTTGTCTAGCTGACATCTCTCAGTGGATGTCTGCTCACCACCTCAAGCTCAACCTTGACAAGACTGAGCTGCTCTTCCTCCCGGGAAAAGATTGTCCCACTCTTGACCTAACAATCAACATCGGCACCTCAGTTGTTTCCCCGACTCAGACTGCAAGGAATCTGGGTGTGACCCTAGATAACAACCTGTCCTTCACTGCAAACATCGCTGCTACAACCCGCTGCTGCAGATACACGCTTTACAACATCAGGAAGATACGTCCCCAGCTGACTCAGAAAGCGACTCAGGTTCTGGTCCAGGCTCTCGTCATCTCACGCCTAGACTACTGCAACTCCCTCCTGGCTGGTCTACCTGCATGTGCCATCCGACCTCTGCAGCTCATCCAGAATGCAGCGGCTCGTCTGGTCTTCAACCTTCCTAAATACTCCCCACACCACTCCGCTCCTCCGCTCCCTTCACTGGCTTCCGGTAACTGCTAGAATCCACTTCAAGACAATGGTACTTGCTTACCATGCTGCGAATGGATCTGGCCCTTCCTACATCCAGGACATGGTTAAACCGTACACCCCAGCGCGTGCACTCCGCTCTGCATCAGCCAAACGACTCGTTGCGCCCTCGCTGCGAGGGGGACCCAAATTCCCATCGGCGAAAACACGTGGGTTTGCTGTCCTGGCTCCAAGATGGTGGAATGAGCTCCCCATTGACATCAGGACGGCAGATAGCTTACACATCTTCCGGCGCAAACTGAAAACTCATCTCTTTCGACTCCACTTCGAGCGTTAGAACTATTAACGAAGCACTTTTATACTAATAAAGGACTGGCTTACCTAAAGCCAGTTGAGTAGCACTTGAAATGTTTGGCTCTATGAAACCTGATGTACTTTATGATTCTGTTTTCTTCAAGGTTGTGTCTTCCTGGTCGAATGTACTTATTGTAAGTCGCTTTGGATAAAAGCGTCAGCTAAATGCAATGTAATGTAATGTAATGTAATGTAGTGTAGTACCGCCGTTTGGCCACTAGGAATATTTTCCTCAGAGTCCGGAGCACTTGTTAGAGACAGAAGCAGGTAAATATCTGGAGACGCTCACTTGTCCTGAGCGAACACGGCGCCCGTCAGAGCGAAGGGAGACGTGCTGTCGATCAGCTGAAGAACCTCTCTGTAATCCTTCTCGGGGTAAACGTACACCGAGAGAACCGGACCGAAGACCTCCTGAAACACAAAACACAAGAACATCCAGCAGCTGTTCTCCTGAAGCAGAGGGCCATATATATATATCCCTGAGGACTGCCTTCAAAATAAAAGCAGCCTTGAACTCATTTCAAAGTAAAAGTGGCCAAGGACTCACTTCAGAGTCAAATAAAAGAACAGATTTCAAAATAAAAGCCAAAAAAAGTTGACTTCAAAATAAAAAGCATCAAGAAGTAATTTCAAAATAAAAGCATCAAGAACTGACATTAAAAAAAGTGCCCCGTGAACTCATTTAAAGATAAAAGCGGCCGTGAACTGACTTCAAAATAAAAGCATCAAGAACTGACTTCAAAATAAAAGCCAAAAAGAACTGACTTCAAAATAAAAGCCAAAAAGAGCTGACTTCAAAATAAGACAAAAATAGTTGACTTCAAAATAAAAAGCATCAAGAACTGACATTAAAAAAAGTGCCCCGTGAACTCATTTCAAAATAAAAGCGGCCGTGAACTGACTTCAAAATAAAAGCCAAAAAGAACTGACTTCAAAATAAAAGCCAAAAAGAGCTGACTTCAAAATAAAAGCATCAAGAACTCACTTCAAAATAAAAGCAGCCGTGAACTCACTTCAAAATAAAAGCCAAAAAGAGCTGACTTCAAAATAAAAGCATCAAGAACTGACTTCAAATAAAAGCCAAAAAGAGCTGACTTCAAAATAAAAGCATCAAGGACTCACTTCAAAATAAAAAGCATGAAGAAGTCATTTCAAAATAAAAGCGACAAGAACTGACTGCAAAATAAAATTGTTTAAAAAGTGGCGTGCTAGTGTAAATATGGACAGGAAATATGGACAGGAAGTGGCCTGGAAGTGTGAATATGGACAGGAAGTGGCGTGCCAGTGTGATTATGGACAGAAAATGGCGTGCCAGTGTGATTATAGACAGGAAGTGACCTCGCTCATGATGGCGTCCTTCGGGTCGGAGGTCTGGATGATGGTCGGCTCCACGAAGTACCCCTTGCTGTCGTCATAGTTTCCCCCAGCGATGACCTTCAGATTGGGGGAGGACTTGGCGTGATCCAGCCACTTCTTTATCCGAGCAAACGACTACAGAAATACAGCAGATAATAAAAGATGAATAATAATAAACACAAAAGAGGACTTTATTTTGAAAAGCCGCTGAAGGAAGCTTCACCTTGTCGTCGATCACAGCTGAGAAGAAGGTGCTGAAGTCTTCAACCGGCTGAGGGCAGAAGCAGATAATCATTGTTAGTGTTTTCATTATTAAAATGTTGCATTACAATAGTTTATAGATTTAACTGCACCAGGCTAAAGGGTCGGATTTTTGCATGACATTAGTAGGACTTAAGCATGACTAAGGTCGCATTCACACCAGCCTTGTATAGTCCGGTTGAATCGAACTCTGGTTTAGCCGCTTGGTGCGGTTCGTTTGGGTCGGTGTGAACGCAGACCTCTGAAGTGAACTAAACAACCGGACTCTGGTCCGCTAAAAGAGGTGGTCTCGGAGCGCTTGCTAGTGAACTCTGGAGCGGTTCATTGCTGGTGTGAACGCAGTCCGCACCAAAACATAGGAAGCGTAGTATTTACGTGTCACAAGAACGCGGATATCTTCAAAATCTTTGGCGAAAGAGTCTTTCAAGACATCCGCGGTTGTTTAGTTAAAGAGTGAAGTGAATGAAGTGCTGAACAGTGTCGTGTAAAGTAAAAATTCTCCGTCAGCTACATAAAAGTAAGAACACCTGTCGTCGGTGAAACCTCCTCCTGACTGCAGAACGTCTCATTATGTTATTATGTTTTTTATCGCACGTTGTCTGATTATATAATCATATGCGCGGCAGGGTTTCCGTTAGCCGGTAATTACCGGTTTTTAGCTGGTAAAATGTAATAAAAACCGGTAAATTCAAAACCTGCCGGTCAAAATGTCCGATGCTCCGATCGATCGCCCCCCGGTCATTATCGGCCGATATTCACTCTTAATAGTTTGATCTGTGCTCTCTATAAAGGCCGATCAGGCGAGCTGGATCTGATCGATATGGACATAAACGGGAGTGAAGTGTAACCGGACGCGAGAGAGAGAGAGATCAGCTGCTGAAGCCCCGCCCACTGTTTAACGCACTGCATGAGAAACTGACGGGCTGTCACGGCCCGTCCACACAGCGGCGTGCGTTGAAGCTTCCAACGCTTCTGCCCATTCACTTTGAATGGGGTGACGTCACTTTTAGCCGAACTGCATTTTGGGAAGCGAAGTGGAGCGTTGCTAGCGTAGCTGGCGTCAAAAGTTCAGCAATGTTCAACTTTTGACGCCTCGACGGAGGCGTCAGCCAATGAAATCCCGTTTATGCAAATCTTCCAGTACAAGCACTAGCCAATCAAACCGCGTGTATGCTGGGAGAGACTACGCAGGTCATTTCCTCATATTCAAAAAAATGGAGGGAAAATTCATTATAGCGGTAGTGAATCACCCGGTGCTGTATGATCAGTTTCTGTTCATCTACCGGGATACAAACCGGAGGAGCGAGGCATGGAGGGAGGTGGCAGAGACAGTGGGTGAAACTGGTAGGTTTTCGCCTGTTTGGGGATTTTATATCCAGTTTACTTCGTTTTAACTTTGCTATTGCTTTGTATGTCGGGGGCGGGAGATTCAGGTGATTGGTTGTTGCTCGCAAAAAATCCCCAAGCTTTCAGACACGCCCAGCTCCAAGCGTCAACGCACGCTGCTGTGTGGACGCTCCGTCAGGAGAGAGAGGGAGGGAGAGGGGAAAAGAGAGGATCTGTTTCTCCCGTGTGATTATTCAAAGTTAATTTTTGAAGAATGTACTTCATCTACTACAAGTAGTTTCTTTGAATGTAATAATCATGTTGTTTGTGGAATAATTTATTGAAAAATGAATCTAAATTTTTCGATCTGTTACGATTATAAACTGAAGCGATATAAAAATGACTCATTAACTGAGTTTTAAACATCAGCATATCCGCTCAGAGTCCGGTGATTACCTGCTAACGGAAACTCTGCCACACAATTCTTATTATTATTCTTATTATTGAAACATGACCGGTAAGTTTCAAATTTGTCCGGTAAAATAAATTCTGTCCGGACATTTGACCGGTGAGAAAAAATCCTAGCGGAAACCCTGATGCGCGGGCCGCTAGTGTCTGTTGGTCTCCAGATTAACAGCAGCATGAGAATAACCTGCCGATGCTCCATGGCGGAGGCTCCGGTAGAAATTGCCGGGATTTGCGGTTTTACAACCTTAATGTCTGACTAATGGTTGAACAGCATTTCCGTGCACAAGACTTGTGTTTAAAGTTTATAGTCCGTTTGAATTTGCCCGTGTGAACGCAAACCGAACCTTCTGAAAAATTAAACAATGTAACAAACTGTCGTCTGGTGCACACCAGAGAAGAGGACTATTAGGTGTGAATGAGACCTTAAGCATGACTTAATCATGACTTTAACTTGTCTTTAGCTTGACCTTAGCTTGACCTTAGCTTGACTTTAGCATGACTTTAGCAGGACTTAAGCTTGACCTTAGCTTGACTTAATCATGATTTTAGCTTGACCTTAGCTTGACTTTAGCAGGACTTAAGCTTGACCTTAGCTTGACTTTAGCAGGACTTAAGCTTGACCTTAGCTTGACTTTAGCAGGACTTAAGCTTGACCTTAGCTTGACTTTAGCAGGACTTAAGCTTGACCTTAGCTTGACTTTAGCAGGACTTAAGCTTGACCTTAGCTTGACTTTAGCATGACTTAAGCTTGACCTTAGCTTGTCTTAATCATGACTTTAGCTTGTCTTTAGCTTGACCTTAGCTTGACTTTAGCAGGACTTAAGCAGGACTTTAGCTTGTCTTAATCATGACTTTAGCTTGTCTTAATCATGACCTTAGCTTGACTTTAGCAGGACTTAAGCAGGACTTTAGCTTGTCTTAATCATGACTTTAGCTTGTCTTAATCATGACCTTAGCTTGACTTTAGCAGGACTTAAGCATGACATTAATAGGACTTCAGCATCACTCTAGAATGACTTAAGCAGGACTTTAGCAAGACTCAAGGAGACTCACGTCTCCCACTTTGAGCTGCCGGATGATGTCCAGCAGCTGGTCTCTGATCTGAGGCCATATGCTGTCGGGGACGTACATCCTGGAGCAGGCCGAGCACTTCTGCCCTCCGTACTCGAACGCTGAGCGGATCGTCCCCTTCACCACGCTCTCAACATCCGCCGAGGCGTGCACGAAGTGGAAGTTCTTCCCGCCGCACTCTGAGGGTTCAACAGAAGACTCAGTACCGTTTCCACTATCAGTATTTCATTCAAACAAAGACAAAGAATGTTAGAGACAAAAAAAGTTCTGATCAGCAGACCCTTATTCTGAGTCAGTTTAATACATTATGTCAGGGGTGTCAAACTCAAAGACTTCTTTTAATGTGGCCCGCAAGAGCTCTGAAAGAATATAATAAGTTTATTATACGGTTTCATGCCGCTTTCCAGAAGCACGTTGCCCATAAACTACATGTCCCACAATGCATCTCATTGTGTGACACTGAAGAGACTTGCAACTATTTGCCCTAGACTTCTGCTTTCAGACGTAGTTATTACCCTATCTGATAATAATCCAATGCAGAGGCAATCATGTAATATAATACATTATTTTATATTTCCTAGGGGTGTAACGGTTCACAAACATTTCGGTTCGGTACGTACTTCGGTTTTTAGGTCACGGTTCGGTTCGGTACGTTTTCGGTACAGCAGAACAAATTATCACAAAACATAAAATATATATATATTTTTTTTAATTATTATTAAACTGTGAATATTCACTCAAATAAATACAAAATATAGTAAAATAAACATTAAGGTGCAGCATTTCGATGAACTGAAATAATCTGTATTTGAACTGAACTGTTCCTAAGCAGCCAGCTTGACATTAGGACTTGCTTTTCATTGTATTTTCATGTTGTTTAAAGAAAGATGAACTTGTCCACATTGCTGCTGAAAGGGCAGATCTGCTGGCTCTAACAATGTCTCCTGCTGTGGAGAACACCCTCTCTAGGGACAGAGGTAGCAGACACAGCCAGGTAGCGCTTTGCTACCATGGCAACATAAGGATACTTGGCGTTTGTAATAGCTTTGGCTCGGTCTGAACTCTCTGCGAGTGGTGGAGGCTTACATGCTAGCGGGAGTTGGGTTTGCACTTCAGTCTTTTTTCTTTTGGTACCGGTGATATTCACGTTCGGGTGATGCCTTTTCAAATGAGTGTGCAAGTTTGATGTATTGCCAGCCACGTAACCAATGTTAGTTGAACAATGCCGACAAACAGCTTTGGTTCGGTCCACCCGTCTTTGTCCGTCATCCTTGTACGTAACTGCGAAACCAAAATGTTCCCAAACCGGAGACTTCAATGATGCTGGAGGATTTTCAGCTCAACTTTATCTGCGTTCGCCATTTCGATAGTTCCTCAAATTACTGACTACATTTGAACGCATCCCTCTGACCAGCTCTCATAGTATGCCTCTCGTCCAATTAAATGACTTGCTCGCTCTATGACGCGTTGAACCCGATGTGAGCAAATTACTCTGAATGCTGCGACGCAGCACCTGAGATTACTTCCAAGAAGTTGTTCACTTTCTCAATTTTTTACGTTTAACGTTATATTCGTTCGGTACACTTCGGTACACACGAGTACCGAACCGAAGGGCCCGTACCGAATAATTTCGGTACAGGTACGTGTACCGTTACACCCCTAATATTTATATATGTATATTTATATAGTCTTAAAGTTACAACCGGCCCTTTGAGAGCAACCATAATGCTGATGACATTGAGTTTGACACCCCTGTATTATGTTATAGGAAAACAATATATTTACTATGCCTTCATTAACCCTCTGTGGCCCGTCTTGTTTTATATTAAGTTTGCATTGCACTTTAATTTCATAGTTTTTATCTGCTGTTCTTTCTCTGTAAACACTTGAATCTTAAGAAAAGTGCTACAGTTCAAGTAAACTATCCTCATCTCTCAGTCAGATATGTATCTTTAATATATCTGCTATTGTGTTCCTGTCTGAGAGTAAGACCCTCGTCATGCTGACCTCCTGCCAGGCGGGGGAAGTTCCTGTAGCTGTCCAGGTTCTGAGCGACCTGCTTCCAGAGGCGCTTGAACGTCCTAAAGAAACCACAACAAAGAGATTCAATCAAAACAAGTTATAAACAACACTGAGGTCTGGAGGACGTGAAACAGTTGTTTTCCACTAATTGATCAACAGAAGATGTCGATGAGAGGAGGTCGATTTAGTAAACTATGAATGTATTAATATACAATAAATAACAGATTTAAACATTAGACTGTGACTCTCTGTGGGTTTTAAACCCTAGTACGTCCTCATGTGTTTAATTGTCGGTGGAAAGGCTACTGCCTGAAGATGCTTCATGTAATGGCTATCGAGAAGGAACGTTTGTATTCGAGGGGCCGCCCTATAACACTTCTCTACGTTCTGTTTGTCATGACAGTTATCGTTCTACTTTCTTGTTTAGTTCTAGTCTTTTTTAATTGTTATTATACAATGCCATGTCTTTTCATGCTTATACAAACATTTCCCAAATTGGGATCAATAAAGTACTTCTTATTTATCTTAGGATATCGAGTGTGTGTCCCCCCTCCACAGAGGGGATATCAAAGAGTGTGTTTACGGGACGCTGCCGGTGAAGTTGACGGCGGCGAGGTGTTCTGAGGCGGTGACGGCGTCCCCGAACACGGGCCCGTCGGCGGGGAGGAACTGCACGATGTTGGGGGGGAGGCCGCTCTCCCTCAGCACCCGGTACACCAGGTAGCTCGCTGACATCGCCGTGTCACTGGGCTTCCACAGCACCACGTTACCCTGACACACACACACACACACACACACACACACACACACACACACACACACACCTTTATCATCATGTGCACAGCTGCTACAGTGGAGATATGGTATATGGGGATAAAGTTAAGTCCCAGGCTCCTGATACTGACCTCAAGAGTCACAAAAAAACAAAATCAGCCCACAGAGAGTAGAAATATGGCCACTTTCTGGTTCAAACTGATATTTTTGATATCAGAAATGGATCCAGAATCCTCAATAACCCTCCAAAACTGTCTTATTTAACTAGTGTCCCGATAGGCTATAACGCCATTAATGCAACTTGTGCTAATTGCCCAACATATGCAGGTTACACAGACCTGCGTGCATTATATAAAGTGCAGAGTGTCGTCTCACCATGACGGCCGGCGTTCCTGCCAGGTTTCCTCCGATGGCCGTGAAGTTGAATGGAGACACGGCTGCTACGAACCCCTGAGAGGAAGGAACAGACGGTCAATACTCCATTCAGTCAGATTTGGACATTTCAGAGGCTGTTAATACTGAGGAGCACAGAGGAGAGAAGTGGGAGGTCAGGAGAAACACAGCATGGTGTTGGTAGTTATTGTTTATGTTGTTGTGTACTTTCTGTCCTCGGTACAGCATGGCGTTGGTTAGTTATTTGTTAATGTTATTGCTGTTGCTGTTGTTTACCTCCAGGCCTCGGTACAGCATGGTGTTGGTGCTCCCATCAGCGTCCAGCGGCTGCTGATGCTGCAGATCCACAGCGTGTTTGGCGTTAAACCGGAAGAAGTCGATCAGCTCCGCAGCCGCATCGATCTCAGCCTGAACCACCGTCTTCCCCTGAAACACACACACATTACTGTCTTCCCCTGAAACACACACACACACATTACTGTCTTCCCCTGAAACACACACACACATGACTGTCTTCCCCTGAAACACACACACACACACATTACTGTCTTCCCCTGAAACACACACACACATGACTGTCTTCCCCTGAAACACACACACACATGACTGTCTTCCCCTGAAACACACACACACACACACACACATTACTGTCTTCCCCTGAAACACACACACACATGACTGTCTTCCCCTGAAACACACACACACATGACTGTCTTCCCCTGAAACACACACACACACACACACACACACACACCTGTCCCATCATGGTCTTAGCGAGGACCTCTGCTCTGTAAGGTCCACTCAGAGCGTCTGCAGCTCTGAACAGAACCTCCGCTCGGTCCTGGACGGGCTTCAGGTCCCACTCCCTCCGCGCCGCCACCGACGCCACGATGGCTCTATTGATCAGATCCTGAGGAACAAGAGGAGTGTCTCACATAAAGTGGGCTCAATAACTAGATTATTATTTTATATAAGTCTGTATTTTAAACACAGTATACATGACCCCGAAAAATGTAAAGTCCAGGTTTTCAATTGGATCTTACCTTATCAGCATAGCAGAACTTTGCCACTTTATGTGAGTGATTGAAGGGCTGCAAGTAAAGAAAGAAAGCAGGAAAATAAAGGAGCAACACAGAGCTGCAGGATATCGTATTTCAGTGTTGGACCCTGAAGGCAGCATCTCCCTGGTGCAATGGGATTTCTCCATGTGATTAAGCTAATGTTGGGCTATAAAGGAACTACAGCACAGTCACATGACTTCACCACCGCTAAGCTAAAGGAGGCTAATGTTGGGCTATAAAGGAACTGTAGTCCAATAAAGGACTGGATTACCTAAAGCCAGTTGAGTAGCACTTGAAATGTTTGGCTCTATGAAACCTGATATACTTATATGATTCTGTTTTCTTCAAGGTTGTGTCTTCCTGGTCGAATGTACTTATTGTAAGTCGCTTTGGACAAAAGCGTCAGCTAAATGCAATGTAATGTAATGTAATGTGACTACAGCACAGTCACATGACTTCACCACCGCTAAGCTAAAGGAGGCTAATGTTGGGCTATAAAGGAACTACAGCACAGTCACATGACTTCACCACCGCTAAGCTAAAGGAGGCTAATGTTGGGCTATAAAGGAACTACAGCACAGTCACATGACTTCACCACCGCTAAGCTAAAGGAGGCTAATGTTGGGCTATAAAGGAACTACAGCACGGTCACATGACTTCACGTCACCACCGCTAAGCTAAAGGTGGCTAATGTTGGGCTATAAAGGAACTACAGCACAGTCACATGACTTCACATCACCACCGCTAAGCTAAAGGTGGCTAATGTTGGGCTATAAAGGAACTACAGCACGGTCACATGACTTCACGTCACCACCGCTAAGCTAAAGGTGGCTAATGTTGGGCTATAAAGGAACTACAGCACGGTCACATGACTTCACGTCACCAATGCTAAGCTAAAGGAGGCTAATGTTGGGCTATAAAAGGAACTACAGCACGGTCACATGACTTCACGTCACCACCGCTAAGCTAAAGGCGGCTAATGTTGGGCTATAAAGGAACTACAGCACGGTCACATGACTTCACGTCACCAACGCTAAGCTAGAGGCGGCTAATGTTAGGCTATAAAGGAACTACAGCACGGTCACATGACTTCACCACCGCTAAGCTAAAGGAGGCTAATGTTGGGCTATAAAGGAACTACAGCACGGTCACATGACTTCACGGCACCAATGCTAAGCTAAAGGAGGCTAATGTTGGGCTATAAAGGAACTACAGCACGGTCACATGACTTCACGTCACCACCGCTAAGCTAAAGGAGGCTAATGTTGGGCTATAAAGGAACTACAGCACGGTCATGACTTCACGTCACCACCGCTAAGCTAAAGGTGGCTAATGTTGGGCTATAAAGGAACTACAGCGCGGTCACATGACTTCACGTCACCACCGCTAAGCTAAAGGTGGCTAATGTTGGGCTATAAAGGAACTACAGCACGGTCACATGACTTCACGTCACCAACGCTAAGCTAAAGGCGGCTAATGTTGGGCTATAAAGGAACTACAGCACGGTCACATGACTTCACGTCACCACCGCTAAGCTAAAGGCGGCTAATGTTAGGCTATAAAGGACCTACAGCACGGTCACATGACTTCACGTCACCACCGCTAAGCTAAAGGAGGCTAATGTTAGGCTATAAAGGAACTACAGCACGGTCATGACTTCACGTCACCACCGCTAAGCTAAAGGAGGCTAATGTTAGGCTATAAAGGAACTACAGCACGGTCCCATGACTTCAAGTCACCACCGCTAAGCTAAAGGAGGCTAATGTTGGGCTATAAAGGAACTACAGCACGGTCACATGACTTCAAGTCACCACCGCTAAGCTAAAGGAGGCTAATGTTGGGCTATAAAGGAACTACAGCACGGTCACATGACTTCACGTCACCACCGCTAAGCTAAAGGAGGCTAATGTTGAGCTATAAAGGAACTACAGCACGGTCATGACTTCACGTCACCACCGCTAAGCTAAAGGAGGCTAATGTTGGGCTATAAAGGAACTACAGCACGGTCACATGACATCACGTCAGCAGTGATGTGTAGAGCTTTACTCACAGAAAGCTGGTATCTGATGTCTTTGGTCCATACGTGTTCATCTCCCACGACACACGGGATCTCTTCCGTCTTCCCCTTCAGGTCGGCCAGCGTCTGAAACACATCACGAGATGAATATTCAAAGAGTCTTTATTTCAATATAAACACCAGTTAAACTGCCTGGACGCCAGAGAAACAGACAGACAGGTGTGTGTGTGTGTCTCTGTGTGTGTCTGTCTCCGTGTGTGTGTGTGTGTCTGTCTGTCTCCGTGTGTGTGTCTCCGTGTGTCTGTCTCCGTGTGTCTGTCTGTCTGTCTCCGTGTGTGTGTGTCTGTCTGTCTCTGTGTGTCTGTCTCCGTGTGTGTGTCTGTCTCTGTGTCTGTCTCCGTGTGTGTGTGTCTGTCTGTCTCCGTGTGTCTGTCTCCGTGTGTGTGTCTGTCTCTGTGTCTGTCTCCGTGTGTGTGTGTGTGTGTGTGTGTCTGTCTGTCTGTCTGTCTCTCTGTCTCTGTCTGTGTGTGTGTGTGTGTCTGTCTGTCTCCGTGTGTGTGTCTGTCTACGTGTGTGTGTCTGTCTGTCTGTCTGTGTGTGTGTGTGTGTGTGTGTGTGTGTACCCTCAGCAGCTGCTCTCTCTCTTCACTCCCCTCTATGAAGCTGAGGATGGGTTCGTTCTTCACCTCCACGCCTGCAAAGGGGAGCGTCTTCAACCTGCAGACAGACGGATATTAACGACCTCACAAACAGGAAACTGGTGTGTATACAGGCACATTTAAATGCACATGTATTTAACCTTTAAACATATCTGTATGACCATTCACCGGTTCAAAGGTTAACTCATGTCACTATATTACTACATGTTTATATGTATATTCTTCTTATCCCACGTGTCCTATCAGTGTTTCTGTGGCTGCTCTGAGTCTCCCGCGAGGATCAGTACAGGTCCATCTCATCTCTTCATCACAGTAACTTTAAACTATCTTTAATATAAATATTCTTCCACAGGACGGAGGGATGCACCATGCTTTATTATTAATGTAGTTCCCTGGGAGGCAAAAACAAACCTTCCTTATTGTTCTGAGATCTGTAAAAACTAACCCCCTCCAATTTCATTAACCCCCACTAGTTAACCCATTAAACCCCATTAGTTAACCCATTAAACCCCATTAGTTAACCCATTAAACCCCACTAGTTAACCCATTGCACCCCAATAGTTAACCCATTAAACCCCACTAGTTAACCCATTACACCCCACTAGTTAACCCATTAACCCCCACTAGTTAACCCATTGCACCCCAATAGTTAACCCATTAAACCCCACTAGTTAACCCATTACACCCCACTAGTTAACCCATTACACCCCACTAGTTAACCCATTACACCCCACTAGTTAACCCCAGTATTCAACCCCATTAAACCACAGTATTCAACCCATTAAACCCCAGTAGCAGCACTGACATGGTGAGAAATCCCCCCCCCCCCCCCCTGCTGTGACCTTCAGAAGGTTGACTCTGCAGAAGTTAATGATAAATAAGAGAGACAGTGTTTAATTTTCAACTGGATCGAGCTGGAACCAGCAGGGTCGCCGGTTCATGTCCCAGATTAAACTCTACAGGAGAGGGACGACCCTAAACAGCAGAACAGACCCACTGTTAACCTCACTAGTGAACTTTAAAAAGTAAAAACAACCCGAGTCTTTCGTCTAAAGCTAGTTTTTGTTGTATATTAAACACTAATAATAAATATTAAAGATGAAAAATTGTTGTAGTTGCATGACCCATTAGCTCGTGAACATTCAACCTTCCTCTAGTCGAACAAGGTAACTAGTTCATACTCTGAAACCAGGTCACATGTGGCTCCACTGTTGTGCAAAAGGTTCCCGTTATTATTATTATTACTGCCTCCTGAATCTGTCAGTAGCTCTCAGTAATATATAATGTACCTCTGTTATCGGACTTATTTTATAAACACTGCTGCTGCCTCTATCTACCTGAATGTGTACTTTGGAAACGTGGAATAATAATGATGTCCTATGCCCTTTATGTAATTGTATATTATTTTGTCTCTTTACTTTAGCTGTGTAAATGTCCCCTCGGTGTGAATAAAGGAATTCACTCCTCCACCAGTTAAGTAGTATAGATAGATGGATAGATAGAGAGATGCATAGATAGATACTTTAATTTGTTTTCCGTCACAGAACCAGAAGAAGTGTTTTCAGACTTTATACAATTCTTAAAATACTTTAAAAAGTGGAAAAGATAATTAACCATTACAAATGAAAGGAAAAAATATGATATCCAATATAAACAAAACAATATAAAATATTCTGGATCATTTAAATAAAAAGTCACCGTTTACAGTTAGTTCAAAATGCTTCTTTGCTCTGACTTCCTGTTTATTTCAGGATCCAATTCCTGGTTTTACGTATTGTTTTTGAATGTGTAAACGATTTGGCACCTTCTTATTTATCCGAGCTCTTAAAGCCACCAGAGCTCTGAGGTCTGAAACCCTCTTCCAGGTTTAGGGTCTTCTCAGTAGGGGTCACTAGGGCTGGAAGAGCCTACCTGTTCAGGTGAGAGCTGCACAGTCCCCTGAGCACTGTAAAACTAGATAGTTATCGTGCTTTACTTTATTTATGCTGTAACTTTATTGCTGCTTCTGTTGTATTTATTTTACTTTATCTATTTGCACCTGTGTATAATTATGTCTTCATTCTTTCATTGATTGTTTTATTTTAAATCTGGAAAGCACTGAGGTTGCTTTACACGTGCTATATAAATAAACTTGACTAGTTAACCCTTTAAACCCCAGTAGTAGTTAACTAGTGGACGAGGCTGTAGTCTGGTGCCAGGAGTTCATGTTATACATGCTGTTGTATACATACCTGAGACTAGCTGCTGTTAAAGAGTTAATACTTTATGAACCACCTCTGATCTTGAGAGTGTTTACGTCAGGTTAGCACTGTTAGCTTAGCATTAGCTAACTGACATCTTGAAGGAGTCTCGTGTGTGTGTGTGTGTGAGCGTGCGTGCGTGCGTGCGTGCCTACCCCCTCCATGACAGGCTCACAGCCGCCCTCGCGCGCAGCATGTCTCTCTGACAGGTGAGCAGAAAGGTGAAGAAGTAGGTCGGAACACACCTGGGAACTACAGCTGTCCGCGGATCGGTACCTGGTTGGATCTCAGGTCAAAGTCTGAGCTGCTTGTGACTCCTGACTGGACAACAGTTACTGTCCCCGGGGAGGGGAGGAGCCGTTTTTAAAAGTCGTATTCCCGGTTATAGTCAACTATTGTTCACTTTAATAATTATTAAATTAATAACAACTTTAAATATAACCTAATAGAAGGTAATAGGCTTCGTTTTTTGGTTAAAATATTAATTAAATGTCGCGGAAATTGTCATCCATCCCCCTTTCTTCTGAAATGGAACCTTCCACAGGCGGGTCTGTGACGGGCCAATCAGAGAGCAGTAAAATATCCTCAGCCAATCACAGAAAAACAAATGGAAGGTCTATTCTTGAGCAGCTTCTGTTAAGCACATTCATTCAGACAGCATGGTGACTTTATAACAGTGGTAATTAATGAATAATTAATCTAAATCAACGAGGATTTGAAAAAAATAACCCTCTTTATTATTATTAGTAATAATAATAATAAATATTATATAAATAAATATAAAAAGATGTACAAATAATTATTATTAAATCCTCGTTTTTTAAATGTATTTATGAATTGAGCATAAATGGATCTCCTGATGGCATCTGAACAATAAAGATTAACACTATATATTTCCTTATTTTTATTTTCGTTAAGAAGAGACACCTCAGGCAAAACATGTTTTCAATACACTGCTCACCAAAAGTACAACATAATTAGAATATTTAAACATAACATGTGAGAAAACGTATCATATCAAACATATCATATATATCATTCTGAAATCAATCAATCAATCAATCTATGTTTATTTATATGAAATGGACCAATCTGCACAATCACTACTTTAACTATATTTGACCAGATCTGAGTACTTCTACTTTTACTCAAGTAAGATCTGAGTACTTCTACTTTTACTCAAGTACAAGATCTAATTATTTATTTACTTTTACTCAAGTACAAGATCTGAATACTTCTACTTTTACTCAAGAACACGATCTGAGTACTTCTACTTTTACTCAAGTACAAGATCTGAATACTTCTACTTTTACTCAAGAACACGATCTGAGTACTTCTACTTTTACTCAAGTACAAGATCTGAATACTTCTACTTTTACTCAAGAACACGATCTGAGTACTTCTACTTTTACTCAAGTACAAGATCTGAGTACTTCTACTTTTACTCAAGTACAAGATCTGAGTACTTCTACTTTTACTCAAGTACAAGATCTGAGTACTTCTACTTTTACTCAAGTACAAGATCTGAGTAGGCTACTTCTACTTTTACTCAAGTACAAGATCTGAGTACTTCTACTTTTACTCAAGAACGAGATCTGAGTATTTCTACTTTTACTCAAGAACAAGATCTGAGTACTTCTACTTTTACTCAAGTACAAGATCTGAGTACTTCTACTTTTACTCAAGAACGAGATCTGAGTACTTCTACTTTTACTCAAGAACAAGACCTGAGTACTTCTACTTTTACTCAAGTACAAGATCTGAGTACTTCTCCCCCCTCTGGTACTTTGTTAGAATTTTAGCCACTGGGATAAATAAAGATTTCTGATTTTACGTTTCGCGCTTTTCAGCGCCGCTCCTAACTATGTACCTCGTGGCGCTCCGTAGCTTAGAGGCGTTGACTGTTGTGGTAAAAAATAAAAACAGCTCTTCTTTCATCGCGACAGAAAAAACACCTCCTATCTTTATTCGTATATATTATACAGAACAACCGCCGCAGGAGAAACCAGAGAAGGTAGGTTTTCAGTTAGCAGGCTAGCTGCTGTTAGCAACACAACAGTCTGTTTCTGTCAGGGAGCCATTAGCATGCTAGTTGCTGTTAGCAACACAACAGTCTATTTCTGTCGGGGAGCCGTTAGCATGCTAGCTGCCGTTAGCAACACAACAGTATGTTTCTGTCGGGGAGCCGTTAGCATGCTAGCTGCCGTTAGCAACACAACAGTCTGTTTCTGTCGGGTAGCCGTTAGCATGCTAGCTCCATGTAGCCCCTCAGCTCTGAGATGCTTCACAGTCACTGATATGACCTCCTTTCAGATGTTTAAACACGTCTACTTCTGTTCACTTTACGTGTTGTTGATGAATCACAAAACACTAAGTTTGTATTTATTTACTGTTTAGTTGCTGGGAGAATGTGTTTGTTCATCATGGCCTCTCTGTGGGCAGTGTTTATGTTTAGACTGGATCAATGTCTTCATCCAGGATAAACAATCTCCTTTAAAGGGGTCCTAACATATAGCACAAACAGCAAGGCAGTAACAAGTCAACAACAACAAACACAACACAATCACGTCACAACACAATATTTAGAGATATTAATAACCAGTGTATGTCCACAGAGATGTTATGAACAAATACATTTACATAGAAATACAAGCATAGTGTTTTGTACGTTTTCATTAGAAAATAGCAGGAATGAATGTCCAATATACCCTCCTGCATTATACCATCATACTTATCCACGTATTTGTTATTTTAACCTATTGTGTTCTTTTATTATTAACCCCATGAGTGTGTCACATCTGATATATAAAAATACACAACAAGTGGAAATTGAGGGGGAATCCCATAAATTGAAGACATTTTCTGTCACTCTGCCACCTATAACAATTCAAATGATCCAGGCCCAAAATGCTATTGCTAGAGGTTTCCAAATTGTTGCGTGAGACATTATATTCAGTAGAAGTCTCCACGTTTGCAGTCAACCAAAGCAGTTTGTAAGCATCATCTTTAGCTAGCTGTAACCAAGCCCCCAGGAAGCGCTCCGGACTCCAGTTTTTCGTAGACAAAATTAACGCCATTAACCACTCCTTCTCAGCTCCATCTGATATACAAGCATCTCCCCCAACCTCCACCGCTACCATTTCTCCCCCCATCTCCCTTGACCTCCTGACTCCTCCTCCCCAGCGCCGCCTCTCCCAGTTCAACCTGGTTACCCCACTTGAAATACTCCATCTGATCGGTTCCTCAAATCCCACAACCTGCTCCCTTGACCCTCTACCAACTCCTCTCCTGAAGTCCTGCCTCCCCGTCCTCTGCCCCTATCTTGCTAATCTTTTCAACTCCTCGCTGTCCCATGGAACCGTCCACTCTGCCTTCAAAACTGCTGCCATTACTCCAATCCTCAAAAAACCTGGTCTTGATCCCTCCTCCCTCACTAATTACCGCCCCATCTCTAACCTACCATTCCTCTCAAAAACTCTTGAACGCATTGTAGCCAAACAAATTCACCGCCATCTCCAAACCAACCAGCTTTATGAACCCCTTCAGTCTGGATTTCACCACAGTACAGAAACTGCACTCGTCAAAGTCCTCTGCTGACCTCCTCACCTCTGCTGACACTGGTTCCCTCAATATTCTCATCCTCCTCGACCTGAGTGCAGCCTTCGATACCGTGAGCCACAACATCCTGCTCACCCGACTCAGGGACATTAGTATTGAAGGTATTGCACTCAGCTCCAGTCCTACCTCACTGAACGATCCCACTTCATCTCCCTCCCAAACCACTCCTCTGCCACAGCTTCAGTCACCCAAGGCGTTCCTCAAGGATCAGTACTTGGCCCCCTCCTCTTCATCATTTACATCGTCCCCCTCGGTCAGATACTCCGCCACTTCAACCTGGACTTCCACTGCTATGCTGATGACACTCAGATCTACCTCAGCACCAAATCCCTCCATAACCCACCCCTTACCCACATCGATTCCTGTCTGACAGCTATTAAAGCTTGGATGCAACATAACCTCCTCAAACTGAACAGCAACAAAACAGAACTCCTCCTAATCGGCTCCAAATCCACCCTCAGCAAGGTCACTAACATAACTCTCACCATCGATGGCACCATTGTTTCCCCCTCCAATCAGGCACGCAACCTTGGCGTAATCTTTGACCCCACCCTCTCCCTCGAACCTCACATCCGCCAAACAGTCAAAACCTCATTTTTCCACCTCCGCAATATTGCAAAAATCCTACCCTCTCTCACCCGCCCCGCTGCCGAACAACTAATCCATGCCTTCATTTCCTCCCGCCTCGACTACTGCAACTCACTTCTTTACGGCATCAGCACTATATCCCTCAACAGACTCCAACGGGTTCAAAATGCAGCTGCACGTCTCCTCACGCATACCACATCATGGCATCACATCACCCCAGTCCTCAAAGACCTCCACTGCCTCTCATCTTTTTAAGTGGGAGAACTTGCACAATTGGTGGCTGACTAAATACTTTTTTGCCCCACTGTATATATATTATTCTGAAATGGACCAATCGTTGTGCATTCTGAAATGCACAACGACTACTTTTACTGTCGCTACTTTCACTATATTTTGATGAGAATACTTTTCTACTTTCACTTGAGGAACATTTTGAATGCAGGACTTTTACTGTAACAGAGTATTCCTACACTCTGGTGTCTCCAGGTGTCCGTCTCCAGGTGTCCGTCTCCAGGTGTCCGTCTCCAGGTGTCCGTCTCCAGGTGTCTCCAGGTGTCCGTGTCCAGGCGTCTCCAGGCGTCTCCAGGTGTCCGTCTCCAGGTGTCCGTCTCCAGGTGTCCGTCTCCAGGTGTCCGTCTCCAGGTGTCCGTCTCCAGGTGTCTCCAGGTGTCCGTGTCCAGGCGTCTCCAGGTGTCTCCAGGTGTCCGTGTCCAGGCGTCTCCAGGTGTCTCCAGGTGGGACAGTATGAGCTCTAAAGGCGGCGGCACGGCTTTGACACGCCGTAACTACAGACTGGCTTCAGACACAGACAAACCCAGATCTACAGGCGAGTGATACTCAATCAAATGCACTTAATCGATGTATTTCTAACAAAACTGTCACATCAAAGTTTCACCTGTCTTTATAAAAGTGCTGTAATGAGATCTAGAGAAGACACACAACACACTTTGTCCCATTCAGAGTTCATTACATCAAGCTGCTTCACATTCAGAGGCTTTATCTACCTGTTGTGAACCTAATAATATAATCAGTCATTATGAAACAGTCTCCAGATTATTGCCGAGAAATTATGCAACTATTTCTTTGTTTTAAGTTGAATGTTTTAGTTAATTTACATCCCGAGTATGTGCTCATGAAGCTCTTTAGACTCCGGTAGTTGTTTCTGATTGAGTCTCTCTCTCTCTCTTTCTGTCAGGCATCGTGAACGAGAAGCTTCTGAGTGACTACCTGCACCATGTGTTCCCCCCCTCCACCAATCAGGCCCCTGCTCTGGCCTCCCTCAGGTAACTCCGCCCCCCTCCTCTCAGCACACCTGTGATTAAACATGCTATGACAGGAAGTGCGACTGATACCAGGGCTCGACATTAAGGACTGCCCGATGGCCCGGGGCCATCTAGTATTTAGCTCGGGCAATGAAGCCTCACCTGCTGGTTGCCCGATCGGGCAATCTATTATGCCAGTCTCATGCAGCTCGTGGATCCAGTAAAGAGTGACCCGACAGTAAAACTAAACATATCTATAACTAGTTACGGTAGTTTGAGAGGTCATTAAAATAGCTACGTGTGATATTCTAACCTGAAGTGTGTGTTTTGTTCCGCTCACCGCTGCATGTGATCATGCAGAGCTGCGTGTCGACTCGTCAGCAGCAGCTGATCTCTCTCTCCCGTCAGATTAGACTTTACTCGTCGTGTTTATGTCCATATCGATCAGATCCAGCTAGTTCTAGCTAATGATAGGACTACCTGCTTATTAAAAGACACCTAAACAATAAGCGTCGCTATGCAACTGGGTGAGGCCGCAAAGTATAGCGCAGCATTATGCATTTGTTTACATGCCCACCGGAACCCCGAGGCATTACCAACAGATCAACGCACAATCAACCCATCCAGGACATCTCTTTCTCCACATTACGTGTTAGACATTAGAATGGACTCTTCTTGTCTGTCACATAAGTGGCTCAACTGAAGCGGTATTGCGCTAAAGGGAAATTATTTTGACCGAAGAAATTTAGATTTGCCGGCTAACGGGAACTCTGACGTCGCCATGTTGTGTGCTTCGCGGATGCGCTCGGCTCCTCTCGACTGCTGCTCGGGTCTGCTCGGTCAGCTTCCGGATGAGGAGGCATTCGTTCGACCAACTCACAGTAGATTACAAACATTTTTAACAGGGGCCATAATAGTGTAAATAATGTTTGTTTTGGCAGTTATAACTGAATGTAATGTTTTCTACTTGTTTCCATCTGGGAAGCCATTTGCCTTCATCAGATGGAAAGTGTCTTGATCAACAACTTAAGTGTTTCTTAAAGCTATGCAGGGCATGCAAGCGAGCAAATACAAACAAGAACAAACAAACAAGTGAAATGAAGAATAACATTGCTTCTCAAAGTGTGGTCCGCGGACCACTGGTGGTCCGTGAGTGCCCCCTAGTGGTCCGTGAGTATATTGGTCAAATTTCACATTTGAAATAAATAAATTAAAGTTTTTCACACTCTCGCGGGAATATCTCCGCAATGGAACGAGCTTAAGTTTCACTTTCGATTGCATGATATAGCTCAGCGCAACACCTTCATCACACATGTTGCCACTTGTTTGTACCATTTGCATGCGATTTGTAATCTATTCTAGATAAACGATGTGTCTTTGGATATTTTTGGAGTTAGGTGGTCCGCGAGTGTTTTTTTATTGGTTAAGTGTCCTTGGTATGAAAAAAACACTGGTCTAGAGAATGCACCAGACAGCATCTAAGACCTGCAAAAATCTAAATGTTCTAGGGGGAGGCCCCCCAAACCCTTCGTGCGTCATTTAGTCCGCGAGCATTTTTTAGGGCAATCTCTATTGGGCTCAGGGCCATCTGTAAATTAGCTTAGATGGCCCACAGGGCCATCTCCCAACATCCTTAATGTCATGCACTGGATAGTAAAAAAAAAAAACTTAGGCGGCGGTCGAATAATCCAAAAATCAGCTCCTAAGTTCTAACCCTATCTCCTATCCCTTGACCTCTGAGTGAAAGGTCACGGGGTTAAGGGATAGTGGATAGGAGAATTCAAAAGGACTTAGGAGAAGAGACTGCGGTACTTTAGAGAATCGACTGCACTTTCACTATCCCACGTGTTTCTGATGCGCCAGCGGACGTCCTGAATGAGCGTCTGCTGCTGTGGGGAAACTATGGAAACTACAGTTCTCTATACAGCGGACTACAACATGGATGTTCAATAAGAACGAGGGACTCCTGTGAACTCATCTAGAGACTCTGTGCTCTGATGCTGCTGCTTTATGCTTTATGAACGTGGACAACAGAGAAACAGATTCTTCAGGACCAAAGCTGGAATTGAAATAAAAAGGAAAGTGAAACTTCTGCTCGTCCCCCTCTCCCTCCGGTCCTCATTAATACAAATGATCCCAATACGTATGATTGATGAAAAGATCTTAAATCAATACAGATGTATTTATTATAAACGTTAGTCCTTAACATCTATCACTGTGTATATCACCATTCAAACATCTTTTAAAAGTTGAACAAACCACACAGCTCAGTAAAGACTGTGAGATGTTGACTTTATTTGATCATTTCAGTAAAAACTAACGTTCATATTTCTCTCTTTGATTATAATACTGATGAACGTTCAGAACAAAGCACTTTGGCAACTTACCACCTACGTTTTAAAAAGCTTAATAAGCACCGTAACTTTCATGATATCATTTCTCCCATAATCGGTTGTTTCCGTGAACGGCCGACTGTTGAGTGACGGCAAATGCTGCAAGGCATTGTGGGGCAGCATTTTCTCCTCTCCTTTCGGTTACGGCCCCTACACACGGCGGCATGCGTTACCGCTTGGCGGTGGGCGTGTCTGAAGCTTGGGGATTTTTTACGAACAACGCGACCAACAACCAATCACATGAATGTCCCGCCCCGGACATACAAAGCAAAGCATTCACGCTACATCCATGCTGGCTAAATATACTGTCTATGCTTGCTAGCTGTCCATTCAAACGAAGTACACTGGATATAAACTCCCCAAACAGGCGAACACCTACCAGTTTCACCCACTGTCTCTGCCACCTCCCCCCATGCCTGGCTCCTCCGGTTTGTATACCTGTATGTAAAGAGGGACTGGTCATATAGTACCGGGTGATTCCCTACGGCCACGATCATTTTCTCCTCCATTTTTTGACATATGGGAAATAACTGCGGTCTGGCTCTCCCAACATACACGCGGTTTGATTGGCTAGCGCTTGTAATGTCAGTTTTGCATACGCGGGATTTGATTGGCTGACGCCTCCGTCGAGGCGGCAAAAGTAGAACATTGCTCTACTTTTGTAGCGAGCGCAGCGAGAGAAGCTACGCTTTGCTCCCACAATGCAGTTCGGCGAATCGTGACGTCACCCCATTCAAAGTGAATGGGCAGAAGCGTTGAAGCGGCAACGCACGCCGCCGTGTGTAGGCTCCGTTAGGGAGGTCCAGTGGTTCCTAAGCTAAACGAGGTTATAAAGGAAGTTTGAAACTTCCTTTCCTATCATCTAGAGCAGCGGTTTTCAAAGTGTGAGGCGCGCCTCCCTTGGGGGGCGCCAGAGGTTCATGGGAGGCGCAGCGTGAGAAGAAGAAAAACGAGAAACAGTGAAATCTAGCTGGTTAATTTCAGCTAACTTTATGCGAGCATGCAGTGTGCGAAAAAGCACACGTCCGATCGTCCGGGACGTGTTATTTATAATATCGGACAAATACATCTTTCCATTGACTTTCTGACGGACAAGTGACGTTTTTCGCCCATAAATGTTAGTTTCGGTTCTGCTTGTCGATTCCTAAGGAAATGCATCTCGCCGCTTTCTGTACTGTTAGACGGGGCGGGCGGGACGTGTAGCACAGCGGCAGGGCTGGGAAGCAAAACTCGCTTCCGAGTAAGAACAAATAGCTATTGCCCGGTCCCAGGAATAATAAGAGTTGTGAGGACAGGAGGCGGAGGCCGAGCCCCGCAGCTCTCTCTTGCGGCTTTCACACCAACGCTTTTCCCTTTCTAGCTCCGAGCTAGAGCTTTTCTGGTTCAGCTCCGGTTTCCCTTTTCTGCTCCCGCTCTGTTCACACCGCCCAGCACCCGACTGGTGCTGCCGCTGCTGCGTCATGACGTCACCGTTTACATCGCTGATTTGCTCCCCAACGGCGTTACGGCGCTCACAACAACAACAACTGCGTCGGGTCGATGATCGTGTTGCTTTTAATCACACGAAGCCAGATTCAATTGAATAACGACTTCTCCAACCTTATGCTTTTCTCCAGAGTGCCGTGGTTCATTGTTTATTAATGTATTTCTGCAGCATTTACCGACCGCTGCAGTGTTGGATGCTCTTCCACGGGAGTTTATTCTCCTCCGTTAGCTCCCGGTTAGCTCACACTGCAGCAGCCGCTCTAAAGTATTCACTGTCCGACTCACACAAGCAGCTGATACGTATCCCCAGTTCCCCTTAGCCTAAGTGAATGTGTGTCAGTCTGAATTGACGCTGTTTGGTATCACAACGCTGTTATGAAAGTTTCTCTGGTATAAAATGGGTGATGTTAGCATAGCAACCGAAGCTAAACTGACTACTTGCTATGGCTATCCTATTGTGGCATAAACCGTTTTCTACAGGCACATTTTACCGGCGTATTTTTATTATGATTCTACTTGTGATAGTCGGACACGACAACCTGTGCAGCCCATGTATTGATTCCATCCGATAGCTGCTATAATACAAAACAACACGTCTGCCTCTCTCCACAATGATCAATGACAGTGAACGGATGGTCAAAGTAAGGTACAAATAAACAGAATCACACGAAGCCTGGTTAGTGTTGCCTGACTTTATAAAGTGTGTTTATAAGCACTACTGCTTGTAGGCAGGCATGACAATCGACCCATGTTCAGGGGAGGTGGGTTTAGTTTCCTGCACGCCTCGACGTAAGAGAGACGTAAGCGACGCGACCTCTTAGCTCCGAAGCTCTTGCCTCTAGACCGACAATTTTTTGGAGCTGGAAGTGAACCGGATTCCGGAGCTAAGAGCCGGCGCCGCTGTGGTGTGAACAGGAAAAACCGGCGCTTTTCAGGCTCCAGCTCCGAGCCGGAGCTGAAAACGCGTTGGTGTGAAAGGAGCATCTCAGGGGCGGTTCTAGGGGGCGGGGGGGGGGTCAGGGGGGGGGACAGGGAGGGCCAGTGCCCCCCTAACACTGACTTTGGACCCCCCTGAAAAGGAAAAAAAAAAAAAGTTCATGATTAAACGATTTCTTGGCTGACGGAATAGGCCTAACTAACGCT